TTCCTGAAGTTCTCCAGCATCACATCTCGGCAGAGCTTCCTCTGGGCAGGGTCCATCAACTCCAGCTCCTCCTAAGTGAAGAACACAGCCACGTCCTTGAAGGTCACTGCCTCCTACAACATCAAGCAGATGTCATCTCGATCATATGGCCAAGGACTGTTGGGAGACAGTAGCATTGTGCTGGCATGAAAGACAAGTGTAAAGTTGTTTTAGATCTTGAAAGACATAGATCAACTTACAGATTTCCTACTTATTCTGTTTGTGTCCTGATAATGACAGATTTTCCTGAGCTCCACCAGAAATTCAATGATGAAAATAAGGCGAGGCAGGAGAATCGCTTGAACCCAGGAGGTGGAGGTTGCAGTGAACCGAGGTTGCGCCACTGCACTCCAGCCTGGGTGACAAGAGTGAAACTCCGTCTAAAAAAGAAGAAAGAAAGAAAAAAGAGGGAAGGAAAGAAAGAGAGAAAAAAAGGGAGGGAGGGAAGGAAAGGGAGAGGGGAGGGGAGGGGGGAAGGGGAAAAAGAGAGGGAAAGGGGGAAGAGAGAGGAGAGGGGAGGGCAGGGAAGGGAAGGGGAGGGGAGCGGAGGGGAGGGAAGGGGAGTGAAGTGAAAGGAAGGAAAAGGAAGGGAAAGGGAAGGAAGGAAGGAACAAAGGAAGGGAGGGAAAGAAAAAAATAAAGAAGGAAAGGAAAGGAAGGAGGGAAGGCAAGGGGAGGGGAGGGGAGGGAAGGGAGAAAGCAGGAAGGAAAGAAGGAAGAAAGGAAGCAAGAAAATAGGAGGGAAGGCAGGAAGGAAGAAGGCAAGTAGGAAGGAAGGGAAGAAAAGAAAATGAAGTCCTGTATTTTTTCTTTGTGCACTAATTGAGTCCACTTTTAAGTAACCCCCTAAAACTCTTAAATGCTGTGTCCTAGGCTACGCATATACAGGTTTCAATGAATCTCGCCTATGACCCCAGCAACATTTAGTAATTCAGTCCCAAGCTAGTTTGATAACACTCATTGTTCTCCCTCATAGTCTAACCCTGGATGCTACCACTTTTCTTTAATAATTACCCAACAAACAAGTTTTGGGTAACTGGGCAATTTTCAGTATGACCTTAGATTGACTCTCCCCACTTTCTTGCTAATAAGTCTCAATAATAACCATAGAATTTGCTATAAATGCAAGGTATATGTCCTTCCTAGGGAAGATAACATCTCAAATTAAGGAGGAACTTCCCAGTAAATTATATTGTCCTTTAAGCATATAATCCAGGACAGATTGCCTTTTGGGGTGCCTCCACTCAGTGCAAATGGGGCGCATGCAATTCAGACTCTACCCACCCCAGGCGGCTTTCCTGAGCCTTGGGGGACTGGCCCACAGGCAACTGTAGGCTTTTGTTTTCCCTTGCTGCCTACCTGTAAGTAATAAATCTGCTTCATGTAATTAATCATGTATGGAGTGTACCCTTCCACTGAACTTACATAAGTTGGTAACCAGTGAACCTGCTCCACAGAACTGGCACAACAGGGTCTGGTCTGACAGAACCATGCATTAGCAAAGGGGAAGCAGTAATACCCCTAGCTTGTGGCCCAGGGCAGTAATGTCAGCTTGGGGTCACAGGAGCTGAAAAGTAGCTGGATGGTTTACTGGAAAAACAGTGGTAAGTGGGGCACAGGTCGCCCCTCTGGACTGCTGGCAACAGCCCATGAGTTAATGAAAATGTAGCAAGATACGGTAGTAGCAGTTGTTCTCACAGGTGTGAGCTGGCTGCATGGATTCAGAAAGAGAGGACGGCAAATGAAAGCAGGGGAGCATGGCATGTAATATACTGATTATGGGCCTTTTACGTAACTGCACATTTCTGGGGCCAAAGGGCTCTGGAAATGGGTGAAGTGGGTTCTCTGAGGCAGCTAAGAAGAAGGAGGCCAATTAGCATGATGTGGGCCTCCATACAGACAGACTTATGACCTGAAGGACAGGTATGGGCAATACCATGAGGACATGCTATCCTGGCTATCCTGAATTGCTGGTGAGGGAGGACAGATTTTTCTATCCCAAAAAGAACAGCACAATTAGGGATGGAGCCAGGTCTCTAGGTCCTTGCCATTCCTGTCAAGAGGGAAATGCTAGTCCAATGAAGGTACAAGGTTCACATCTTACATGTGTACTGACTAGAGTCTGTGAAAACAAAACATTGATACTGAGGTGCACCAGCCTCTGAAATTTTGGATATATTGCCTAAGGCAGCCACAAGGAATGCTTGTATAAATGGCAATTCTTTGCTTGCTATTGGGCACTGATGGCGACAGTACATCTTATCACTGGAGTACACATGTGACATAAACTGCCCATTCTCACCTGGACCCTTTTGTACATGTCCTTCCTAGGGAAGATAATATTTTGTAAGCAACCCTCTAAAACTCTTAAATGCCCAACCCTACCAATAAAGTTGGGCAGGCTCCATTTGAGAAGAGACAAAGCTCTATTATCATATAGAAATGGTACATTTGGCCAGGTGTGGTGGCTCATACTTGTAATCCCAGCACTTTGGGAGGCCGAGGCAGGTGGATCACCTGAGGTCAGAAGTTCAAGACCAGCCTGGCCAACCTGGTAAAACCCTCATCTCTACTACCAATACAAAAATTAGCTGGGCGTGGTGGTGGGTGCCTATAATCCCAGCTACTGGGGAGGCTATGGTGCAAATGGGGCATGTGCAGTCCTGACTCCACCCACTCTAGGCAGCCTTCTTGAGCCTTGGAGGACTGGCTTACAGTGGATAGGCTTCTGTTGTCCCTTGTAACCTACACATAACAAATCTGCTTTATGTAATTTGTCATCTATGAGTGTGTTCTGTCATGGTAGACTCACCAAGTCTATAACTAGTGAGCCTGTTTCATGGAATTGGTGCAGCCAGCAGGGTCCAATTTGACAGAACTCTGGACTGGCAAAGGGGGAGTACTTATATCCTGGGCAATTGGCCCAGTGCAGGGATGGCAGCCTGGGGGCACAGGCTGGACAGCAGCTGGATATTTATAAGCAAGACAAAGTGATAAATGGGACACAGGCCACCCCTCCACAGATGTGAGCTGGCCACATGGATTAAGACAGAAAGGACAGAATATGAAAACACAGGAGCTTGGCATGTGATCCGCTGATTGAGATACCTTAAATAATAGCTCATTCCTGGGGCCAGAGGACTCAGGAAGTGGGTCAGAAGATCCCTGGGGCATCTAAGAGGGATGGAACTAACATGTGTGATGTGAGCCTCCACAGAATGGGGGACTCACTATCTGATGGACAGGTATGAAGAAAACAAGAAGGACATGTTATCTTGGTATATAGAGCACCCTTCACATAAGGAACTCCATCATCAATAAAAATACAGTTATGAAGATACATGAGGAACAGCACAAGAAGAAAAAACAGGCTAATTTGAGAGCAAGGAAGTAGGTGGGAACACTGTTTATTTCAACTAATTTTTCTAATCCATAATATAACAGTAAAAAACAAAACAAAACAAAGCCCAAACCAAAAACCAAATGCAAAGTCAACAAAAAAGAGACAAAGGAAGCAACTGGCACATAGCAGGTCCCCAAATGCCCGATTCCTCCTTGAGTCTTCCCAAAACAGAGAAAAATATATATGAGCAATAAACAGGAATTTTAATAGCAAGAGAGGTAAGCTCTACTCATGTTGAATGTGGTCATTTTTCCTTCTACTTTTTGGAATCTTCGGAGTCCTGAGTGATGGAGCATGAAGGTAGGTGGAATCATGCCTGGAAAATGCCAGACAGCAAAAAGGGAAGCATGAAATGGTGGCTGGCAATGCTGTGTAGCAACTCGGACACGTGAATTAGCCATATGAATGATCACAGCAGCATTATTCATACTAACCCAAAAACTGCACGCAACCAAAATGCCTTCCTCTGGGTAAATGGATAGAAAAATCATGGCATATCCATGTAATGGAATCTAATTTGGAAATTAAAGGAAATGAAGTAGCAATTCATTAAATGACATGCATGAACCTTGGAAACATGCTAAGAGAAGGAAGCCAGTCACAAAAATCCATGGATTGTATGATTCCATTTATGTGAAATGTCCATAGAGGCAAATGTATACATAAGAGAAAAAGTAGGTTACTGGTTGCTCTGGATTTGGGGTTGGACTCATTTATAATTAAATGGGCATGAAGAGTCCAACTGGGGGTGAAAAATAACTAAACTGAATTATGATGATGGTTACTCCACTTTACGAAGTTCCTAAAGAGCACTGTACTCCTGAGATGAGTGAATGCTATCATAAGTTAAATATAACTCAATAGAGTTGAAAAAAATAATTGTTAATCCACATGTCATTTACTTTAATAAGAATGAATTCTGAGCCCATATTGTTGGAATACTTAGAGTTGAACAAGCAAATGAATAAATGAAGAGAATTAGAAGCTCATCTTTAGTAGAATGTTCACCAATAAAGTATCTTCCAATAAAAAACTTTGTTTAAAAAAACCAAAAGGTAACTTTATAGTGGACAAATCTGAAAGACATCATCTTGGCCAAGTGAACATAGTGGAAATCGCCAGCGAACAGACAAACCAACATCATGTGAACCTTGTTATGCTGCAATAAAGAGGAAACCTCATCACTTGTGTGATATTCTCACCAACAATACATAATCTGAAACTAAACATGAAATGTATCAATGAAATCTTTCTCCAAAATAACTTGACTGTTTAAAAAATAAACACTGGCTGGGCGTGGTAGCTCACGCCTGTAATCCCAGCACTTTGGGAGACCGAAACACTTTGAATCACTTAAGACCACGGGTTCAAGACAGTCTGGCTAACATGGGGAAACTGTCTCTTCTAAAAATACAAAAATTAGTTGGGTGTGGTGGCACGTACCTGTAGTCCCAGCTATTTGGGAGGCTAAGGCTGAAGAATTGCTTGAACCCATGAGGAGGTTTCAGTGAGCCAAAATCGCGCCACTGCACTCCAGACTGGTGACAGAGCAAGACTCCAAAGCAAAAAAACAAAAACAAAAAACAAACAAACAAAAAAAACCCCACCATGTTTATAAAAGATAGGCTCTGGAATCTCTCCAGACTAAAGAAACTATGGAATGTGACAACT